CTTTTGAGCCTTTGTTTGATTGTTTCGGCAGGCGAGGGGAGGGGGTACGCTGGGGACATTGAGGTGGACAAGAAAGGAGCTGGGGGACCCACTGAGTTGCCTTTTATTGCCTTTGCAATTGCTTTACGGCTCGCCTGTCCCGCGTGGTTTCCGCAAGGGCAGCTTCCTTGCAGAGGGTGCCCGGCGGGTTTGGAGAGCCTTGTGCCATCTGGGCTGCTCCAGCGGCAGGTTCAAGGGCGGAGAGGGTGCCCCGAGTCATTTGAGGGCTCAGAGGACTTTTGTAGCCCAGCCCGAGGGCTCCAGTGGGTGCTCAACTGGGAGGAGGAGGGGTTATCAGCCGACAGTGAAAGAGGGAGTGGGGAGTCCTCTCTAAAGCCGGGGCGAGGTGAGCAAAGGGGCCCACAAAAACTGCATTTTAGTTGAGCTTTGACATGCCGGAAGTGATGAGGACTTTGGGTTCAAGGGCTTTTTCCCAAATCAAGATCGCCAGGTGGCGACTAGGCAATGAGGTACCCGGCCACCTGCCCGGCTTGCACTCGGCAGGGACCAGATCCCCACCATCTAGCCCTCACCACTGGTGACCTGACCTCGTGGGACCTGCGACCCAGCCCTGGGGCTTTGGGTGCCAGGAAGCACCGCGCAATTCTCAGCTCTCTGAGAGCTTCTCTGAGGGTTGCCTGTTTCCCACCCTTCTGAGCCCGAGCTGAATCCTCAGACTCCACGGCTATGTGTGAGGCTAAGAGTAACCAAAAATGTGCTTCTTGATAAAGTTTTTGATCCCTGTCCCATGAACATGGACTTAATGAGGATTAAAAACAAAGCCAAACATAAAACCCCAGAAGCTTAGATTATGTGACCGTAATTGAAACGTTGGGGTTTGTTTGTTCGTTTGTTTTGGACACTCAAGAATTGGACTCATCCCATTTCCACCTGACCTTAGTGCTTAAAAGCCCTTGAAAAATTACGGGTCTCTTCACTTCCCCACTACGAAAAAATACGTTGAGTAAAATTGACCTGTCATCAAATATTATAATTTGGTTATCAATCATTTTTACCCTCAGGGTTGGGGGTTGTCGGAGAATGGCCTCTGACCCACGTTCGACAATTAAGATTGGTAATTTCTTGGGAAATGTCTAACTGTTATCTTTTTAAAAAATGCTTAGAAGGTCCACACCGGAAGCAGAAACCCCCTTACATGTTCACAGTTCGTGTAACCACCCAATATTTCTTTATGTTGTCTCTTAAGATGTGCTTCTCCTCCCCTTCATGCTTTATCCTTTAGAATGTTTTCGGATGGGGGATAAAGGAGGAGAGGTTGTGCTTTTATTTTTAATCTCAAATTTTGTGGGTAGTTTCTCCCCATTCCATACCCCTTCCAATATCTATACTTCAATATTTGAAGAAGCTGTTGAGATAAATCAAATAGTGACACGTTGACGGATTTACTTGTGTAAGCAATATGGTTGACATATGGCATTGTTATTTATGAATGACAGCATAAATTGTATTACAAAGTCTATTGCAATAATACTGCAGTTTATTGGAAAGCTGCTCGCCTGTCACCGGTATTCAGCCTCCCTGGATGTAGTTTTCCTGGGAGCCCAAAGGGTAACGGCCCTCAAAATAGTTAAACACATTGAAGTAAGCTAATGCCTTCTGTTTTGGGGGTTGTTTTTGTTTTTGCTTTGTTTTACAGCAGTAGAAACTCTCCCATCAGGAAAGGAGACAAAGTAAGAACGATTAGTCCTCTTACTTTTGCAAAAGCACAACCAACCACTGTCACCTCGAAATGTTGGCTTCTATTTTTTTCTGAGTCTCTAATGACAAATACACAAACATTTGCATCCCTAACACTAAAATGCTGGTGAGCATTTATTTTATATAGACACTTTTTATAGGCCCAGTTGCAGAACAGTAAATTTTAACTGTAGAAAGAAGTTCTTTTAGCAGACTAGAGAGGGCCTTATCCTATGATTCTCCCTACCTCCACTAAATCTCCCCCTTCTTAAAAACGGTATTTAAAAGTTACAACATTGGCTGAGATTTTCACGATTTCCCTTTCTTTTACATTACAGATTTCCCCTTCTTTTACATTACACTTGTTTAAACCTCGGACAAAAATCTTTTGTTCTAGGTGAGTTTTACGAGGGAGGGGGAGTCCCCCACCACACATGTGGTCCTTCATGGGTCAGGGGTCGCCCAGCCCAGGAGTGGCTGAGAGGCTGACTCAAAGGTGACCTGCAACTTAATATCCTGTTGATGATCTTGTTGAATTTATGAGTCTGTGATACAGAGGATAGTGCTGAAATCCTGTGAAATCCTTTTTTTTTTTTTTTTTTTGTCCAGTGTATATAGACAGCTGATTCCACATTTTTTTCCCTCCCATCTCTTCCCCCATTTCCATCCCTTTCCTTAAGAGGAAAATTAAAAGTTTGAGTGGTATTGTCACCGAGTGTTTCTGCTTTCCAATTCAAAGATTGCTTTTGTTTGCTTGTTTGTTTTTGGTTTCTCCTGGCCAACGAGATACACCTGTGTGTGTGTGTGTGTGTGTGTGTATGTTGTGTGTGCATTTGCATTGTTTTTATGTATATGTACACAAAATACTCATCATAGTCAACGCTTTACAGAGGCCCACAAACCGCAACAAGGTGTTCAGTGAATGAGTGCCCGGGTATTTGATGGGCTTTTCTGTTTTTTTGAAGACAACCCGAATTCTCTATTACACCGTCATTCTCTCCACCTGCCGGGAGAGGGACGCCAGCCCTGGCACCCAGGGGCCCACCATACAGGGCCATCCACATGCAGCAAAGCCTGGAGTCTCGCTGGCCTAGCCCGGCGCAGGCTCTGTGAGATCGCCAAAGAACAATTTTGGAAAACTTACAAAGAGGGTACATGTTTGCCCGATGGGGACAGTTGTGGGTCCCGAGGGTCTGACCCCGACACGGCGGGCCGTTCTAGAAACCTGTTGAAAAACTGAATTCACTCACAGGGTGCGGAACTCAGCTTGGCAGCTTTTTTTCCTTCGGCCAAGGAGCGCAAATGTACTTTTGAGGCAATGACTCTGAAAGCCTTTGCAGGGTTTGTTTCTCTCTCTCTCTCTCTCTCTCTCTCTCTCTCTTGCTTTCTTTCTCTCTCTCCTTTCCTTCCTTTTTAAAAAACAGAACGAAACAAAACTGTGTCTTGAGGCAAAGGGGTTTTGCAGTTTGTAGAGAAATAAAGCGCTTCTAAGAGGGGACGGCGACGTGACTTTGAACTTGGCTCAGCTCCTCCGTGTCGTGCAGAGGGAGAACTGGAGCCCGGAAAGAATAGCCAGGAGGGCCCAGCCCGCAGGGCCTCCGGCGGGAATTAGCTTTCCGCCCCACCACCCGGCCGCGCGGCCCCCGGACCCAGGGCCAGCGAGCGCCCAGCGGCGCCGGCCCGAAAAGGGCGCTGCGAAGAGGAATGGAAGTGAAAGGAGAGAATGGGGCGGTGAGGAGAGGGGCAGAGGCGCGCAGCGGGGGCGAGAAAGTGCGGAGGGAGGGAGACTTGAAGAAGTCTGATGGCTTGGGAGAAGGAAGGGAAGTGAGGTTTGGATATGTGCAGGATCGCTATTCTCACGACCAGTCTCTAAGAGAATATTTTCTTTTGGAAACACTTTTGGAGTAAGCTTTTCCAATTCCCCCGCCGTACATATTGATGAATAAAATAAGCAAGTGTGAAAGGCTGTGCACCGGGCAATTTTATAGATTCACTGTAGCAGGGCAGCCTTCCAGCCTGGAGTCCGTCTCCGTCTCCGTCTCTGTCTCTCTCTCAGGTCCCTCTCCGCTTAGGAGGGCAGTTTGGCATTTGCCTCCTCCTCCCCCCGACATAGAGAGAGGTGTGTGGAGAAGAGGAACATTTCCTCCCTTCAGAGAAGTCGAGAATCCCCAGCTTTCAGGCAAACTCCCTGGCTTTCAGACAAAATGCCCCGGCCTCCTTCCTTCTCTCCCACCCCCCTCCAGCCAGGGAAGGGGGACAGCGGGAGGGCATAGGGCCCCTTATGCGAGTGGCTGCGGCCGGTCCGACCTTCAGAGAGAGACCCGCTCCGGCCGGGAGAGGCTGCCTGTGCCGGCGCGGGAGAGCCCAGTTCAGCCAGCGATCGCCGGCTAGAGTTGTCTTCCCGCGTTTTTGTTGATTGCATTTCAACATGAAATTTTGAAATGCGTGTGGATTATTTTCTCTTACTTGAATTTTATTTCAACTCCCAGAGATTTGTTTAAAGGAAAAAATAAAAAAGCAGTTCCCCACGCTAGCTAGGCGAAGGCGCTGGCCTCAGGCCTTCCATTCACACCTCCGCAGCCTCCGGGCCCGCCGGTCCCTCTCCGGTTACCTCCGGGGCGCCAGCTTTCAGCGGCGGGACAGGAAATGTCCGCAGCGGCCAACCGGGGGCCTGGGAGATGACCGGAGCCCCGGGGCCGCGAGGCAGGCCCCGCGCGGCAGGCCCCGCGCGGCAGGCCCCGCGCAGCACGGGGAGCAGCCTCGGGCCCGCCACCGCCTCGGGGGGATGGTCCCCGCTCCTGGAGCAGGCTTGATAAATGTCTTCTAGAAGGTTTAAGCCCTACCGGTCTGGAGATTTCTTCTTTGGAGGCTCTGAGCCTGACCCTCGGCCAAACTGCAGCCTGAGCCTTGTCTGGCCGCGCGCCTAGGGCGTCCCCACACCTCCCACCGTACCGTGGCAGAGGCCCGGGCTTCTGGGCATCCACCCCGAGGGTGACACCGTCTTTAAACCACTTCCAAACAACCACCTCCCTCGCGGGGGCCGCTGCCCAGTGTTTACAGCCGTAATCAGAGGAGGACGCGAGCGGCGGGGGGAGCGGAGCGCGCCGAGCTCCGGCTGGGGGCCGCGGCCGGGGAGGGGGCGGCGTCTGGGTGAGTGTCCGGAGGGTGGGAGGAAGGGGCACGCCTGGCTTTCTCTAGGCCCTCCATCCCGCACCTGTGTTTTCAACACCACAGAACAAGTTGACAAAGTGTGTGTTGGGGGGATGGGCGCGGACAAGGAGCATGCCAACGGGGCAGGAGACCAGCCCCCGGGCCGCTCCCCACGGCGCCCTCCAGGGGCGGTGGAAGGGGGAGGCCCGGGTCTGCAGCGTCCCAGCACGCAGAACCTCCCGCCCCGCGGCCCGGTTGCTAGCCAGGTTCTCGAGCAACCAGGGGTGCCCGCTTTAGGTGCCCGCCAGGAGCGGTTCGGGTCCCCGGGGACTCGGTGGCCTCTACCGAAGGGCGCGAGAGCAGGGTGGCGTCCCTTTCGGGCCCAGCCAAGGGCGCTGTGACCCCGCGGCCCAGCCCCGCGCGAGGCGGGCCGCCCGGCTCCGGGGAGCGCCGCGGCCGGCCGGACGAGGAGCCGCAGCGCCAGGAGCGCGGGCGAAGAGCGGGAGGCTGGCAGACCCGGCGGGCTGCCACCAACAGCAGCAGCCGGGGAGGCGGGGAGCTGGAGGGGC